ATATATATATATATATATATATATACATACATATATATATATATATGTCTTCTGATTTTCCTATACATGTGATATGTGTGTGTGGGGGGTGTGGGTGTGTGTATATTATCATGATAATTGTGTTTTATTTTTCAGAATCGTTTGGTGGATCTTGATATTGGTATGGACTTTGTTAAAATGGCAAAAAGAAGCTTTCCCAGAAGAAATCTACCTAAAAAGTGAAATTTCATTGAATGTGTCTGATTGAAGAAAAAATGTATATAGTACTAAATGTATATAGTACCAATTCTTATAAAAAAAAAATTGTTTGGACACACTAAGTTACAAAGTAGCTAGGGTAATTTCTTAGCATTGAGTGAGTAACTTTAGTAGTCCTACACAAAAACGGAATACCTGGTCGGCCCAGGATAAAGACGTTAAAAGCACTATTAAAAAAACGAAGAAATTTGCCTTGAACATTAGGTTCATGGGCAAGTCCCTGACACTTTTCTCGTTGGAAACGGGAAATGTATTCACATTTCACAAGCCAACAATCCACAAGCTGAATCTTGAAAGCGTTTCTTTTTTATATCATGGCCTATCACCCAGTTGTTGTGAACGACCACCACTTTGTGTTGGTATTTAGACATCGTGTTATTGAAATACATTTTTGTCCGTTTGGAAACTCATGTGAGCCCAGGACTTTTCGTTTTAATCTAGCTTTAAATTCTGGTGAATTTAGTTGTTCATTAAAAATTGTTTGATCATGAGCTTTACTGTCTAATTTTTAATTTAGTGTCAATTGCGACCACTTGTAGACAAATCTATTTACAGTTGTAGAAGAGCGAAAGTAAACCATACCAGCACAATAAACGTAGGTACACACGTTGTCTGAAATTAAGATCCATTTGCAGGATAACATCATAATGTCCGACAAGATATGGAAAAGGATCCTTTAACCAAAATGTGTCGACGTCACAAAAGAACACATTTTTACACTTCTGAAGTTCATTATAAATATATTTTGGACGTCTGTACACACGTTTTTTTATATTCACGAGTGTTGAAGTCTAGTTTTGACTTGTTCGTTGATTGAAGAAAATTACTTTGCGAATATACGTTGTAGAATTGTTATATGATTTCAATTTCTCATATACCTCTTAGTCCTCCGCCATCATTATGATGTTAGGGTGTATTCCAAGTTTCTTGATGGATTCAAGCCAATTTATGGCCATATCTAAAAATCCAGAATTGGTTGTAGACAAACAACATTATTTTTCATTTAAGTTTTGAGATTTTTTTTGCTGTGCTGTCAGCGAGATTCGTGGCACATGATTCAAGATTTTTTTGAGGATTCGTACTATTTTTTCCTCCTGAAATAAAATACGATGCGAAATAATTTTGAAAAGAAAGCATTAAAATTGTAAGCATTGACATATGTAAATATATTTTACTAGGCCTGGTGTTTTACTGTTTCCACAGTCTAACTGTTAGCTATGAGCTTAAGGAGCAGAGTTAGGCAATACAAATATTATTGAATATGATATAGGCCTAGCTCACTAAAGGAAAAATACTTTTAATGGCTTAGGCCAAAGAAAATAAATAAAAAAATAAAAAATTGTTTTGTTGCCCTTAAATGGAAAAATCGAGATTGCCGGTCGGTCGGTTTTTTTTCTTTTGGTAATACCGGTATGCCTACCTGAAATAGGATAGACCTAAAACTGCTCAGCAGTCCCTATTATGAAAACCTTAGGCCTAAGGGCCCGTAGCTCGTAGGCATCACAATAGAGCGACGGCAAGCTTACCAAACACAAATACGTTCAAAGTAATGACGGAGGAAATGCTAACCAAGTGTATATTGAAATAAATTTAACAAAAATAAATTAGTTTAAAGATGCATTGTCCATGCTAAATGCCAAAAAAAATCATAAAAATATTTTTTGAAATTCACTTGCCCATTTTGAAGTAACATAAAAGTTACGGTATCAACTTGAACATAGAAATTAGTGTATTTAAAAAATGTCTAATCATCAGTTTACAGCGAAAAATGATAGAAACACATCCAGTCACTGGAGGTGTTTTATTATTTTATTATAATTTTTGGTTCAAAAATCTGGGTACACATTTTTTAAACTCAATTCTATGCACAAGTTAA